CCCAAAATCCTTTTTTTTTTTTTTTTTTTTGAATAAACACACAAAATAAGAAATAAAAAGAGGCGGTTCCTTAAAAGAAACCAAAAACAAAGTACTGAGAGCAAAAAACAGCGATCCGAACGGAGCGAAGTAAAAGAAGTCCTTCCAACGCGGCGGTAGGAAAAGAACTGGTGGGATGTCCGCGCCCGCCCCCTTGGGCATGCGCAGTGGGCCCTGCGCTTGCCTGAGGGGATGGGCGCGAAAATCCTTGTAGAGAGCTTGCTACAGCACCGATTTGATCCAGCGCAGGCGCACTAGACCCATTGGTGTGAAGCACAGAGACCACGAAGAAGATCTATTTCTGTTTAAATGGAACCATCTATAATGTATACTAAGCAGAATTCCAAATTGGTTTTTGATTATTGCCAGGTCCTTCAGATTTGAATTCTTGGTCTTTCAGAAGTGAAAAATATAACTATAGGTATTTTCCCGTGTGGGGACACAGGGGATCCATGACAGCTTGGTCCTCCCTGTCTGCCTCCATGGTTCTAGCCAAGACCCCCCAGACTGCCAGTGGCCTCAGATGCACAGAGAGGAGGGAGTTAGCTGCACCTTGTTCCTCCTCCTCAGTGCCCAAGTCTCTCCTGGGCAGCTTGGAGAATACCTGGAGCCTCCTCCCTGGCCTGCTGTTTGGCTCCTTATATGAGCCAGGCCTAATCCTGAGCATGCCCTACTGCCATCTTTAACCTCCCGCATCTGTTCCCCATTTGCTTGACAGTTTAGCTGATCTGGCCCAGCTGCAGCTACTCGTGGCAGCTTCTTAAATGAAGTGCTCAGTGCTGTATAGGATCTGTATAGGATCTGTGTGTTTTCAAGTCGGAGCAGCTGTAGGAGAGAGCCAGTTTGGTGTAGTGGTTAAGTGTGCGGACTCTAATCTGGGAGAACCGGGTTTGATTCCCCACTCCTCCACTTGCACCTGCTGATGTAACCTTGGGTCAGTCACAAGCTCTAGATCTAAATAACTGGATTAATATCTCAGACTCTAAGAACTCACCTGGACTCCCTCAAAAAATATGAGCATGAGACAAGCAAGCTAAAGTCTGCAAAACTCTTGTAAATGTTATAAGTATGTTGTGTTGCTTTCATTCCCATATTCATGGTATTTCCACATTTTGCAAGGCACAGGTCCCCATAATTATAAAAGTGACCACGTCTAGTAACATCAACTAGCTTCTTCTGCAATTCCTGTGATTACCAGGCTGTGTTCCTGGGAACTCTGGCATTCCTTAAGAGGCTTACCATATCCATAATCACAGACAAGCTTCTCACAGACAAGAGAGGCAGTTTGGTGTAGTGGTTAAGTGTAGTGGTTAAGTGCGTGGATTCTAATCTGGGAGAACCATGTTTGATTCCCACTTCTCCACCCACACCTGGCTGGATGACCTTGGGCAAGCCGTAGTTCTGATGAGCTGTCCTTGAAAAAGAGCAGTTTGTGTCAGAGTTCTCTAAGCCCCACCCACCTCACAGGTGTCTTTTGTGAGGAGGGGAAGGGAAATAAGTTTGTAAGCCACTCTGAGACACCTTTGGGTAGTGAAGGGCGGGGTCATGGCTATCTGCTGTGGCCTGGGTACGTCCAGGAGGTCCCACCTAGAGAGCTGGAAAGAAACAATACTGTTGGGTTGTTGCTATACATCTGCTCAATTGCATCTTCTTTCTTGAGAGTTCAGCCAAGCATTTACAATGTAGGCTGCATGGGGAAGCATCCACTTGCCATCCTTTATGGATATGTAGAGCTGTTGTGACTGTATTCTCAGATACAATGCTTAGGGTAGAAATGGATTTTCTTATTTGTACCTATGGGACAGAAGAATAGGGTGAATAGCTCTATAGCATTTAACTGTCACGCTCTGTAGATATTTATATGTATTCGAATTGCATCCTACCAACTTTTTCTGCTGGCCCTAGGGCCCCTTTTAACCACTAAGAAAGTTGTGCACTGCTGATTGTGGGGCCCACATAGACAAAAACATGTGGGATGGGAGCTACAGAGAGGTGGGAATTGGGCAAGATCAGCCCCTTCTGCCTCTTGCACCACCAGAAAAGCTGATAGGCTGCAAACCGATATTATAAAATGTGAATCACAACATACTGCTGTTCCACTGAGCCTGAACATATAGCCAGTCTTGCAGGTTTCCATGGCATTTGCCTAGTTTAGGTGATGGGGGGGGGGGTTTCACTACAAAATCTGGCACTCTAGCCACCCTGTGATTCACTGGCATGCAGATATTTTTCTTCTGTGACCATATAACTGGTTTTTAATGTAATTGAGTTTTTAGTTAAAACCAGTTTAGGAACCAAACACCTAATCAATTGAGGTCGACAGTAGAGACAATGTTATGTAGCTGCCTCACCTGTATATGTAAGCTTTGTACAGGTATAGATGGATTTAAAAGGGAATCTCCACATTCAGTGGTAGTAAACATCTGAATACCAGGGCCAGGAGGCAACATCAGAAGGCTTCAGCCTCTGTGCCCTATTGCTGGCCCTTCAGAGTAATTGGTTGGCAACCGTGAGAAAAAGGATGATGGTCAATGGACCACTGGTCTGATCCAGCAGGGCGTTTCGTATGTTATATTCAAAGCTAGCACTGCTCTGAAAAGCAGAAGATAACTCTGAGTCATACAATGATGCTTGCTACCAGTAATCTAAAATCTGCTTGCTTATAATTTTTTATTGGCAGATTCCATTTTCTAAGTTTTTTTTGTCAAGCCGGGGCAGAATCCAGGATCAGCAACACGGACTCTGGGTAGACAAGGTAAGGTTTGCTGTATCTTGTTGGCACCCTTAACGGCATTTTTTGTGGGGGGAGGTTGTTGTTCTGGAATTACATTCTCCCTCTGAGGTGGAGGACATCTTGTGGATGATTCCCATCCATCACTTAGGGAGGCAGGACTAATTTCAATTACTTCCTGTTTCCTGTAGTGGGAGTCACCCTAGGCTCAGTTCTTTTCCTGCCTCAGAAGGGAGAGCAGCTAGGTGTAGGCTCTGCCTAACCCTATCTTTCGGAGTTACTTTCACTTTCTCCTTCCATCTTTGCTGTGAGTGGGCTTCCCACCCCAATAAGCTGGCATCCGTGGTCATCACCACCCTCTTTGGTTCCCTGATCTGAGTTCCCTGCAGAAAATGGGATGGTTCCAGCCACCATTGTAGCTGGTGTTGAAGGGGCTGTGGTAAACTGACAAGTTGTCGTCCCTTCCTGGCTATGACATCTTGGAAGGGCAGAAGGAATCTCTGTTTAGGTGTGGAATCTGGACCATTGTACTATGTCCTGGCATGACACCAGTGTACCCAGAAGCTTGGCTAACACCATCGCCTCCACTTTGGACATGGTCAACACCTTGATTGCCAGAGACCTGATCTTCAGTTGTCTTTCTTGTGAGATGTACACCTTGTCGTTACTGGTCTGCACTCCAAGGTGTACCAGAACTTGGGTTGGTTTCAGGCTGCTCTTCTTCATATTCACCATGAATCCATGATCCCTGAGTGTTCACACTTTCCTGGACTGACTGCGATTTGATCAGAATGTCGTCAAGATGCGGAAAGAGAGATACCCCCGTAGACAAAGATGAGCTATTAATGTGACCAAGACCTTTGTAAAGACCCTGGGAGGTGATTTTAGAACAAATGGGAGTGCTCTGTATTGATAATACTGAGTATTATACGCAAAGCATCGGAATATGCAGTGTGAGTTCCTTATGGGTATATGCAAATAAGCCTCTGATAGATCAATGGACATGAGGAACTCCTGTTTCTGAATGGCCGACAGTATGGATTTTAAGGTTTCCATTCTGAATCTCCTTGTTCTGATGTGTTTCCAGGATGGCCCTGACCTCCCTGTTCTTTGGCACAATGAAAAGAATCCAGTACACTCCCTGATTTATTTGAGCTTCTGGGGCCCTCTCTATTACCACTATGTCTAATAGGTGTTGAATGGCTCCCAGAAGTAACTTGTGCTTCTATTCTGATGGATTTTTTGGGATCTGAACAAGATGCTTGCAGGGAATGTTTTTGAACTCTAGAGAGTAACCCTCCGATATTGTTTCCAATACCCACTGATCGTTCACTGTCTCCCACCACCTCTATGCAAAGAGTTGCAGTTGTCCTCCTATCCCCTTTGATTATGCCTCGGCATAGTCATGCAGAGGCTCCCTTCTTGTTGTTTCTGGATCCTTGATCATTCTTACAGGAAAAGGAAGGTTTATCATCTTGTGGCCTGTTTTGCCATCTTCCTTTGAAGGACCTTGGTCGATTTGTTTTCTTGGTGTCACGAAAGGACTGGAACCGTTTTAGAGACTTGACATCCTTCTTTTTTGATAGAAAACAAGGAAAAGAAGGTTCTACTATTAGATATTTGTCTAGACTGTCTCCAAAGAGATGGACACCTTTAAAAGGCACTTCTGCTACCTTGGTCTGGGCCGAAGAATCCATGTCCCAATTTCTAAGCCAGTTGTGCCTCCTGGCAGCCATGTTGCTAGCCATGGCCCTAGCTGACTGTTGTAGGGCATCAAGGGTGGCATCTGCTGCAAATGCCTTTGACAAAGCTATCCTTTTTTAGCTCATCTTTGACTTCCTTAGGAATTTTCCTTTCTGCTGAGGCCAAGTCAGAGGCCCATGCATAAGAAGCCCTCGCAAACATAGAACCAGCTGTGGATGCCCTCAGCAAACAGGAAGAGGCTTCGAAGTCTCTGTACTGGGCCTGGTCTATGCGCCTGTTGCATTGATCCTTGGGTAGACTGTCTGCTTCCATAGGCAGCACTGAATTAGAGGTCAAGCTGGTCACTGGATCATCCACTACTGGCAGTTTGATTCTCTTGGCAGCTTCTGGAGTAAGAGAGTAAAACTTAGAAAAAAATTGATTAGTAGCTTTTGCTCTTGTAGGATGTTCCCATTCAGCCTTCATGATACTGTAAAAGGCTGCAAGGAGTGGGCGTTCTGATTGCGTCACTGAAAATTTTGGCATCAGTTTTCCTGATCCAGCTTGGAATTCAGGATCCAAGTCATCTTTCTCCTTGAGATTTTGGGGTTAGTTCCAAAGTTCTCAAAACTTTCGGAAGAAGGCGTGTATAGAGTTCTTGTGGGAAGAGTCTAGTTTGTGTTGCTGGTATCACCTCCTCCTCACACAATTCTCCCTCCTCTTTATCAGAAGACGTCACTCAGGGTTCAGAGTCTCCTCTGAGCGTCTAGGAGGGGACTGCCTTCTCTCCTAGGAGAGTATTGTTGTCTATACTTTTTTGGTCTGGGAGGTGAACGAGAAGTACTGCTAGATGGTACTCTCTTTCTTGCCTGAGACTTTTCAGAACATCTGCCCCTAGGTAGGTTTGTGTCTGGACTTTCTGTCTCTGGCTTCTTGTAGCATTTCCCTAACTTTCTTCCTTAACTCCATCTTTAACCACTGTAGAAGGTTGGCTTTGGCATCCTCCCCAGTTAAATCCATCTCAGAAGACTCCTGGGTGGATAGCGATACTGACTGCCTGGGAAACTCAAAATCGCTGTTCTGACTCCCCTGCCTCTGTGAAGTGGATGGGCCTGCCCTGTCCTCCATTTTGAATAGTGCACCTGGGGTAATAATGAAAGAGAAACTTCCCATAGTGGGTGAGGCTAACAAAATGGCTGTCACCATCTGTTCCCCTTCCCCCAACTCTTTCATCAATTTTGCTTGCATTGCTGCCCTAACTAAATGGGCTCAGCAATCCTTGCTACCAAGGGGAGATTTACTGGGATTTAATAGGAATGGAACCGCTGAAGTGGTTACTCCTTCAAGTGGACCTTTGCTCAGGACCATTTTCATCCTGTGGGCCCAGCCCCCGATGGTGTTCCATACGGGGGGGGGGTTGGAAATGGCTCCCTGCCACCAGCACCCCAGGCAGCCCAAAGCCCCCAGCAACCGACGAGTGCCTACCGTAGTTCAGAGGGGTGGTTTCCTGGTTGTGCCTTCTTCACTGTGCCGGGTTCTCTGCACCCAGGGACTTTGCTGGGTTGATGGCTCGGCCCTGAGCACCTTCGTAGGCCCCCTCTCCCAAAGTCCTGGAGTCAGGGAGGAATAGAGAACTCTCCAGCCTGACGGGGGGAGTTCTGTGGGGGCCTGAGGTAGAGCCGTGGCTACCAGGGATCTCCTGGTGCCGCCGGCTCTGTCATGCTGCCGTCCGTGGCTCGATTCTGACTTTTTTGGCTGACCATTTGCTGCCGAACGCAGCCTGAAAGGCCTCCCAGGGATCTCGCTGGATCTTCAAGCTCATGGAGCTTCCACGAGTTCCATCCGGCTTGTAGGGCAGGGCCGGTAAGACTCATTAGTTCACATCTTCCATGAGCACATCTTTAGTATAAATTCAGGTTGATTTTCAAGTCATACATTATCAGCCGCATCTAATGAGACAAGGGAGATCTCCCTTGTGATCAAGGGAGAACGCTAACATTTGAGACTATTCTAGGTTTCTCCTGCAGGTTTTCCTTGTTTGGATTTGGATCACCAGCTTTCTTAATACCATTATTTTCCTTTGATCTGATTACTTGAGCTGAATGTATAAACAGATTGTTTTTAGAATGTTCATTAATATTAATAGTATTATCACTTTGCCTAATCCCTGCAGTGGTCTACTGTAGTTTTCCACATTTTTGTTCAATTTGTTCCTCCGCCAGAAGAGGGTTGAAGATGTTTAGCAGGCTTTGTTACTGAAGATCTGTTTTCTCCACTTCCTTCTCTGTATCTGTCTCAAGGTCTCTTGAAGGGGTTATTTTATTCATCTGCTGCAGGAGGGAGTGGTTTAAATTTTGATTATAACCTACTTTCTGGTCTAAAGGGATTTCTAGATCAATTAATGGGGGGAGGCTCTACCGTCTTTTCTGCCCTCTTCTGTAAGGGTGGTTGTTCTAGCTTTGATTTAATCAAGGGCTTTCTTATAAGATTGTTAAAAGCTCTTGTCAAATGAATTCCAAAGTCCTAGAATTCGCGGGAGCCAGACCGGAAGCCGGTAAACGGGCAATTTTAGGTGAAAAAAAAGGTCAGGATAATTCTCCATGATTTGGGCCCTGAATTTTTTTTTTCTACATATTTCAGATCTCTGTAGAAGACAGGCATGCCCAACAACACAAACGATTTCTTTTCCCATACCAATTTATCCATCTGCTCTAGGGTTGCCAGGTCCGATTTTGTCCCCAGCGGGGGACTTTGGGGGGCATTCCCGGAGGGGGTGGGACATCCCCAACATGATGACATCACCTTGGAGATGTCCTGCTTCAAGCCCCGCCCCCAAGAAAAATCGCCGGCAGCCACCCCTCTCCCAAACTTCCTAGGTGGAGGGCCCTTTAAATCTTGCCAGCCGGGAGGGAGAGGGATGGCAACTGGCTTTCAGCTGGAGGAGGGCCCTTTAAATCTCTCAAAAGAGAAGAGAGGGGGTGGCTGCAGGTGTTTGGGCTTGGGGGCGGGGCTGGTGGGTGGGTTGAAGCCCCGAAAAGTGGGTAAACCCCACCAGGCTGGGGTGCCTGGCAGCCCTAATCTGC